AGCTGCAAACCGAGGAGACGAGCCACGGCGAGGGAGCAAGGCGATGAAAGAGAGAGGACGGAGGAGCGAGGCGAAGATCGAGCGGCATGTGCCCTAATCTTTCTTATTTATAAACCTAAAATCCCTAATCTCGATCTCCGATTTCTTATTCTAATCTCAGTCTTTGTTCTGTTTCTCGTCTTGAATCTGCCCTCTCATCCCTTCGGTTCAGGTATATGCAACATAGATTTAATCTCTAGTTGAAACCCAAACTCATAACACGAAAGTCGGGTTTTTACTATTATCAAACGCGTATTCATCCTGTCGATAAACGAATATCCAGAATATTGGATATCCAACTTATGAATCGGAGAACAAGTACTCAAAACTCGATGCTAAGATGAGTTATGATTTTTGGATTTTTGATGGTTCGAATTAATAAAGACCATTTCGGTTAATAACCAAATAGTCGATTCATGTGAACCAAATAAGATATAATTGTAACCGAATCAAATTCAATATAAAAATTGGATGATTTTAATTTTTTAAAATCCAAAAAATCTTAATTCGAATTGAACATAATCGAATAAAAAAATAATGAAAAAATATGTTTGACAAATAAGTTATCCGACCGAATTGAAGCTAATATAAAAATAAAAAAATTATAATTTTTTTATAACCAAAATAATTGAATTCAAATATAAACAAACACGAATATAAACAAAGCGAAAACCCAAAATGGTATCAATCCTAAGTCCAGATTGGTTTGTTCGAATCCCTTCTTGGTACGGTATGATTAGTTCGGTTTAGAAAAATTCAAACCGAGTTGTATCAAAATTTAATTTAATTGATTCGGTTCAATTTAGTTCGGTCCGGTTTATGTTTCCTGCAGCCGCCGATTCATATAATACCGAAAACGACGTTTCCTCTACCCCTTCGCCTCTGCATCTCCTCCATTTATAGGCATCCGCCGAAGCTCCATCTGCTCTTTTCACCGATTTTCCGACAAAGAAATCTCGGTCGAAAACCCTAGACCGCCATGTCTCATCGTCGTTCCAACATCAACAGACCAGATCAGAACACCAGATACGTGCCCAAGACCCAACAACAGGTACGGAATCCAATCGATGGAACTAACCCTGGTCGGTACCCAGTCTCTCTCTCCTCTTCACTCAGGCAATCGGATTCCGCCGTTGCGTCTTCGAGCGCTGGAGGTGGCGATGGCTCCGCCGCGACAAGCGGAAGAATTAGGATGGGGGATTCAGGGCAGTGGGTGTCGAGTAGAATTCAGGGTCAGGGAGGTGGGAATTTCGTGAATTACTTGCCGCATGATGAGGCCGTCGCTGCTGGTCTCGGCGCTGAGGATGGAGGTTTGGATCCCGTGGAGTCGCAGAGAGTGGTGGATCTTCTTAACAGAGAGCTCACCAGGTTGCTCAAGCTGAGCCCCAGAGAGTTCTGGAGAGAAGGTGACAATCTCTATTTGCATTTTTTTTTATTCCGATTCTAACTTGGTTTTGAACTGATGAATCGTGGTGCGTTTTGGCTGAAATTGCTTTCTGTGTCAATGCTAGTGGCTGGTGATGCATCGTTGCATGATTTCTTGGACAGTTTCCTGCAATTTAGAAGCAGATGGTATGATTTCCCTTTTCATGGAATCAAGGGAATTGTTGCTGGGGTTATTGTCGGAGAACTAGAGCTAAGCCGCCGTGTGTTCATGGTCTTGTATAGAATGTGAGTCACTGTCTGATTCTCAGACTGAAGCTACATGGGTTTTTCCTTTCAGTTTCCTCTTAGATGATGTTCTTATTTTTTTCTGGTTGTGGCAGATCTTCAAATAGGGATCCGGGTGCTCGGGCCGCTGATAGCCTCAGCCAGAAAGACCATGGAAGTGGGTTCCTGCTCTCTTTTTTAGAGTTTGCGATTGTCAATAGCTCTTTGTCTAGTTATTTTGAATACATACTGGGCATTAGAATGAATTTGCTATTAACTGTATGGCTAATCGTTTAATTATGCATGTCACACAGATTTTGTAGTGGTGTCTAATGTTTGTTTCAGTTGCCTTTCGGCCCTTTCCTAGTATAACTGAAGTGGGAAAATGACTGGGAAAAGAGCAGGTTAAATAATGCATGATATGCTTATACTACCAAGTGTATGGGATTGTATATCATTTCTTCTTGAGCCGTAAGCAGATTTCCCTAGCTTAGCTCACCTAACGAGCACGCTCGAAAGGTAGAAGTGAATCCGAACGAATGGTTCAGTTGCATAGGAGATGTTAATTGTTGGGTTTGTTATTAGACTAAATGATTGTTTAAACTGATGCATGGATCCCTAGTACACAGTTCATGGTTATGTTCTAGTTGACATTTTGTTCATTAGTTCTGTTTATAGTTCTTTTGCAGGATAAGAAATTGCTTGATTTTCCGAAACTATTGGATATATGTGCTATATATGGACGTGAAAATGCAGAGCTTACAAGATCCCTAGTAAGTCATTCCAGAATGTACTTAATTAGGCAACGAGTATCTGTCTGCTATTCTTTCTTCACATGACGAGGTATTCTTTCACTCGTTCAATTCTTTTTTTTTCAGATTGAAAATGCTCTGAAAGCTCAACCTTGGATCCCTGAAAGCTTGAATGTAATGTTATCTCATTTCTTGGGTATTCTGCACACAATGCATCATCGCTGCACCTCATCTTTGGAGGTATGTATTTCGTATCGTTTTTTCAGAAGGTTTCTCTCGGGGTCAATTATAATTTTTGTTGTGGAAGTGTTTGAGGTATTGTCGCCATTGCTCTAGCTAGGGTTTGTGTTGTGTGGTTTTATGATTTTGCCGATCAACATTTTTGCAAATTGCATCATAGAATGGGCTGTAGCTTTTAGCCTCCAGTGTTTTTGGACAGAACTTGTAGGCCTGTGGTTGGTTATCTTTCTTGTGATACCTCCTAGATTTCATATTGGAACTTATATAGTTAGTCAGCCCCCTCCCTTTCAGCTGATCCATATTGCTGCTGCCTTTTTAATTTTATCTGCAGACCATGTTATCTAATGGCAAGAGTGAAGACCATGGATTCAAGCGACTTCATGCCGAGCTTTTGGAGGTGAATTTCCATCTTCTTTCCTGGGAATTTTCTCTTTCGACTTTGTTTTCTTCCACCTATTCTCATAATTGTCCTTCTCATGACGGAAGGGACATGATAAAAGTAGCATTTGAGTTGCTGTCTTAACTATTTCTTCCCATGCTTTGTGTAATACGTAAAAACTAAAAATGAGTTTTTGCGGATTATGTAACAAAGATGAACTTTACTATGTTTGAAATATTTTTAAGCTCAATACTGAAATCAGGAAAAGCTGAAGCTTTTTCCATGCAGTTTTAGCTGTGAAGTTAAGAAATTGGTGGGTAACACGACTAACAATTATTGAACTTCATGGTATCTTTTAATGGAACTTGTGCTATATCTAGACAAAAGAAAAATACAGTTTATTTCTATAATGGCAGTAGTGCATAGTACTTTTTATGCCTCTATTTCTTCGGTACAACCGTACAATGCTTGCTGGTACTTGCACATGCACAGCACACGTATATATTTGTAGAGCCAAGTGTTTCTTCACTCACCTGTTAATGTATCTCAACATGAACATAAGATTTTGTTTCTGAAGATTCAGATATGTGGTACAATTGTCAGAAGTTTCCTTTCTATTGCAATTAGGTTATGGACTTCATCAATGATGGAGCTGTGTCTTTGGATGGTTTCATATCTGTCTATAAACCAGCAGCTTTTATCATGGCATGCCCTGTTGAGACAAGGTAAGCTTTATCTATACAATCTATAGCATTCAATTAGTATTGTGAAGAATGCTAGTTTGCCGGTCACAAAAAGTCTAAGCAACGGTTCTGCCAATTTCTCAGAAGTTTTGTCTATGTTTTGACTGCACATAATCGCTCCGCACAAATCATCATTAACTGGATTTGTTTTTAATGGCATTACGGATTTCTCATGATTATTGAAATGAGATTGATGATGTACCTTTTTGTCACCATTCTCTAATGTCTCTTAGTCATTTGCCTTGGCTTGTCTGCAAAAGTCATTCGGTTTTTGTTTTGATTGGAATCTAAATTGTCGTCTGCGCAGTTATGGGAATGATGAACTTCTAAGCAGCCTTATGCGGTTGCATGATTCTTTGCTCCCATCACTACACCGTGGGTTTCAGGTCCTGTTCAAGGATGAAAAACATGGATCTCTTTCAGACATTACTACGAGTTTGAACATGTTATCGACAAGGATAGTAAATTTTTGCTGGAAAATATTGGACATTTGTTATCTGAGCGACGAAATGTTTGATCAAGGGACTTCAGTTCCAGCTGTCACAAAGATGTTCCCGTCCAGAGTAGAGGATCCTATGATAAGGGCAGACATACTGATTCAGACATTCAGAGAATTAGGTGGAGTGTCTGATCAAATGCTGAAAAACAAAAACCGATTGCTTCAGAAGATCGAAAGGAGTTACAAAATAATGGATAGACTTATGGCTCTGCAGAATGCAGGTATTTTCTTGCACAATTTTGATGTTTTTTTTTTTTTCTGCGACAACCTGGTTTGTCATGTCCTGGTTGGTTCAACCTGTAAGATGGAACTTATATTAGAGTTATTCTGGTTGAAATTGTCTATTGCATTACATCCCTCTAAATAAATGAGATTCTTAGAAGCTATTTACATATCATTTTGGTCTAAAGCATATAACTTGTATTTGTTTCTAAGCAGGATGGATATCGATGGATGATGAGCAGTTTCACTATTTATCGATGATCATGTCGCATTCTTCTCAGACCACTACAGTTAAGGATCAACCTCTGCTGCTTACTCAATCGGCAAACTCCAAAGAGCTGGTGGATGAAGATGCTGTAGTTATGCAATCCAAGATCAGTCAAATAAAAGATTTGTTCCCCGATTATGGTAACGGGTTCTTAGCTGCTTGCCTCGAAGTATATAATCAAAACCCGGAAGAGGTCATCCAGAGAATACTCGAAGGAACGCTCCATGAGGATCTGAAACGATTGGATACGTCCTTGCAGACAATGCCACAACCCAAATCTGCTTCAAATATAAGCATCAAAGACAAAGGGAAAGGAAAACTCGTTGAATCCGAAGTCACAATCTCTGATCCATATAAAGAACAGCCGACCAAGGGTCCTTCAGCAACATCAGCCTCATCCACTACCGTTGGTAGGTTTATCAGAAAGGCAGCAAGGGACGATCTTCCGAATCATGGTATTCTCGATGTGAGGAACGAAAATGACAAGACAACTAACGCTGCCTTACTTCAACAGTATGAATACGAAGATGAATATGATGACTCTTTTGATGATCTGGGTTTCAGTGTTGTGGAGTCATCTGCAGAAGAAAGCGAGATGTTTGGGAGTAGAGTTGGTTTGGGTTCTGGACAAGAACCCGAACCATCAAATGCATCGAAGTGGGGTAGCAGAAAGCAACCTCAGTTCTACGTCAAAGACGGAAAGAACTACAGTTACAAGGTTGCGGGATCTGTTGCAGTTGCGAATGCCAATGAAGCTTCACTGGTAAACCGAGCTCAAGGAGAGATGATACATGGCTTGGGACGAGGAGGAAACATTCCTCTCGGAGCGGTTAAGAAGCTTACCGAATACAACATCCAGTATGATGGTTCACCCGAGAGTGATGGAAGAGAGAATTCGAGAAATTCCCGAGGGGAAGGAAGAGGAAGAGGAAGAGGAAGAGGAAGAGGAGGTCGAGGAGAAAACAACAATGGAGAAAACGACTCGGGTGTTTCAGGAACAGAGAGCAGAGGAAGGGGGAGTGGAAGAGGAAGAGGAAGAGGAAGAAACCATTACCATAAAGACAGAGCAATGAAGAAACACATAGCCAGCATTTCTGGCTTCTAGAGAAATATACAATGAAGAGGTGAATCATATCATTTACTTTCTAATGGTCCCTAGGTGGGTTTTTTTTTTTTTGGACAGAACACAGAGACAGAGCATCATTTTTGGTAAAGGAGATGCGATCTCTGGGTCTTGGTTTTGTGGTCTGTTTTTTTTTTTTTTTGGAGAGGTGGGGGTGCATTTTTTTTTTTGGACTTTTGTAGGAAATATATGAAAATGTATTATATATATATTAATGACTGATGATGAATATTATTAATTTATATGCATTTGTTTTTTAAATTCAGTTCTGTCCAATTCGTTTTATAGAATATCTAGTTTTCCGGTCAAACAAAGCGGTTTACAAAATTCAAATTAAGTATGATATGAATAAAAATTTCATCATAATATTGCATTTAATAGAAAAATGTATTTCGAATACAATTAATTTTGTCTAAATTAAACAAACTAATTATAAAAAAATAACAAATAAATCAAAATAAATATTAAAATTAATAAATTTATCAAACTCCACTTAGATTTTCATTTATTTCCATAACACCATCTTAAATCACATTTTCATCCATCTTCAAAATCTATATCCTAACCAAAAAACAAGAAAATTATCTTAATAATGGTTTACCCTTAACAAAAAATAATAAAAACTAAAAACCTAAAATTCTCAATCCGTGAATGGTTCGTTTTAAACAAACTTGAATGGTTGTCTAAAAATTACACGATCACCGGCCGGGTTTATACATATATATATATATATA